GGCTCCGATAAGCAGGCCGCAGTACCTGTCACCTGCGGCTGAGGCGGGCTTCGTTGACCCTTACGCTGAGAGTGTTCACGGCAGTCTCGACGTCTGCAGCGCGGCTACCTCGGTTCAGCTGACGGTAGCGGGCCTGCTCAGTCGGTCCCGCCGCCAGCGCGGCACGCCAGCTGGCAAACAGCTGGCGGTTTTCCCCGGACAGCGGCAGGGCGCCGGGCGCAGACAGCCTCACACGCCTCACGGCGGCACCTCGTCCAGAAGGAGAATGAAAACTCGTGGGGATGCGTCATATTTCTCTGTCGGGTCGCCAACAGCGAAAACAGGGGTCCAGTCCGCGTAAGCAAGCGTCTCACGTTTCTCTCACGTTCTCACGTTCTCACGTTCTCACGTTCTCCCACGTCTCTCACATTCAATAAGCAAGTTTAAAGCTGTTGATGTCTACTCGGTTACCTACGAACCACTTTGTCTCGGAAGCCCAGGCGAAAAAAATTATTGCGGCCCACCGTAGTGGCACCGCGTCACGCCGCTACTCGCCACGAGTTGCCATCCGTTAGTGATGATCACGTCAAGCAAAATAGCGACCGGCCGGTGGGTCGGGGCGACAGTATTGCAGATGTGTGGTCCGTGCGTCGACGCCAGCTGACGAAGCCGATGCAATAACTTGCCGTGGGCACGGATGGTCTCTTTAGTAGACAGGCGTTTAAATCTCCGGCGATTATCAGTTTGGTATCTGGGTACGCTGCTAACGTGTGCTGCAGCTGCCCCTCGAGGTCATCGAGGTCGGCTATTGTTGACTGGTGTTGGTAGGATGCCGGCAGGTAGACACGATCACTCGACGTTTTCGTTTGTCTGTTCAGACGAACCACCACATTATCTCCAGGTTCGATTCAGCAGTAGTCACTGTTGAGGGCGTCGGCAACGTTTCCACTTCATAGTGATCCCGTGCCAGAGTCGTCACGCCACTATGACCTCCCGGCAGCTTGCTGGTTCTGGAGTAGGGTGCGCCATCGAGGGAGGTGAATCTCTTGAAATCAGCTGAGACAAAAATTTTCCTTGGCACACGGACTAATGATAAACTTTCAGGTCTGTCGCACCACACCAACGTTGATATTCATGAGGCGGGAGCAATTTTTCTTTAATAGGCAAAGAAAGCTGTATTCTATACTAGCGTCACCTACTTTGCGCACTGGAGTCTTCATCCAACAAGCCTCAAAGCCGCCACTTTCCACACTACTGGTACTTGGTAGATTAAGTATGAAATAGATGTCATGGAGAGCACCGGCAAAATATTGCCCAACAGCTTCAAAGCTGACATTTTAGTGAATGACATTTATTTTTGGCGAAGCCTTAAGTTGTGCAGTTATGAGAATGTTCCAGCCGACCGGGTTAGGTTCAAGTTTGTTATTGCTAACGTATCATTGTGATGTTAATTTGCAATTTATAGGCTTTTTACGTGGGATATATGGCTTTATTATTGTAGTTTTGCCCGGTGCTTATATATTTCTATCGAACAATCACTTGCATAAACATGCCAAAGGCTACACGGTCGCGCACAGAACATTTTGTGGTAGGCCACCCGGCTCTTCTGTCCCACCACCAAATGCCGATTACGGGAAAGCATTGAGCTACATCCGGTGGCTGAGCGAATCGAAGAGGAATCTCCCTTATGTCATCTTCAAGACCGCGAAGGTAGAAATCAGGTACTGTGGACCAACGAAGCGCTTTCTGTTCATGATCAAAAATACGTGACAAACTTGATCGAGAGGGATTCATATCCTCCCAACAGAGCTATCAGCAAGATATTAAAGAAAGAAAGAGAGTGGCAGGAATGACGCCAACGCGAAATTCAACAGGCTTCTTGATGTGGCAAAATGCAAGTGCAAGTCTCAGTGCAGTTTTTCATGACCAGCTGTCTGCACAGTGTATCAGGGGAAGGTTGCTATAAGGGACCAGTGTAGACACTGGAAGCTTACCCTGGGTCATATGAGCGGAATAGGATTGTGACTAGGGAGGCTCACGAGTTTCGGAGGATGGCCAAACAACTCCCGGGGCGTCGTGGCTCGGCCGCCAGTGAAACGGTGTCTGCTGCTGAACCTGTATCGCTTTTCCCGCCGACTACTGAGCCCGCGCCGCCTGCTGAGCCAGCGCTGGCTGCTAGTACTGACCCCGAGCCTGCTCCAGGACCAAGTGGTCTCAGCGCTGGCGAGTCAGCCGAGAGCACGGATTCTTACCCGGTTCCGTGCATGGCAGAAGGTGGCGACGACGCCGATTGTTGGTTCCGGTTGAGACCACTGTAACTGCAGAATATAACGTCAATAATCTGACTAACACCGCTCTGGCGGCTGACAGCTACAGTGGCTCGAAGGGGGCCGCTGCTGCCATCATCAACGCCTTTCAACAAGACAGCAGAGTCGGACTGGCTAATTGAAATCAAATATCGTACAGCCTAGGAGTTTGCTGCACAAGAGACAGAGCAAGAAGGGAGACGGCTCGTTAAAATTTGGAAGAAATCCACTAGTCAGGTGTGGCCATCCTCTTCTCCGACGGCCGGGAAGGTAGGAGCTGCATGAGCCACACGAAGCCAGACGAATGCCGTCGAAAGCACGAGATTGTCATCATTGTGCCAGGCAGCCGTTACGTGGCTCATTTTACGCCCGAATTCGGCCGCTCCCTGCACTTGTTCAACGAGCGACACTCCCTGGGCCCGCAGTGCGACGGTTACATAAATGTGCTCGGCTGCGATGGCACGGCCGTCAACACTGAAATGATTGGCGACATGTTCCGACTGCTTGAGCGGGCCACCGAGTCACCAGTACACTGGTTCATCTGCCAGCTGCACGGGCAACGAGCTGAACCTCCACCATCTGCTGCTGAGCTTGGACGGCACGACCACGGGATCGAAATGTTTCTAGATCCATCGGCAAGACCTGTGCCGGAGAGGCCTGGGAAGGGACGTTGTGGCATTCAAGCCTAGGTCGGGGCACGTACCAAACCTGCCGAACAACCTGATCCAGCAGCTGAGCACCAGCCTGCAGCTGCTGTAACTTCTGGCCTCAGGCGTTCAAAACGGCTTTGTCCGAAGCCTGGCAGCCCAGCGGCGAATCGGGCCATCGAATCATGTCAGGTAAATACGAAAACGCATCATCTTTGAATTGATAGCAATGAGTGTTTAATGTTCAGGTACCAATTGATATTTAATGTGCTCACCGTCGAGCATTTACTTATTATTATACATTGTGCCGTAGTATGTCGCATCATTTGCTGGTTGGCTCATACTTACGAGAATATTTGTTGATACGTATTCCATCACATTTAAGGACTCTGGATATCGGCATAATTACATGCACTAAAGAGGCGCAATAATTTTTGTATGATCTAATGCTAAGTTCGTGGCGAATTGTTCTAATACATTCGCCTTTGAATTCAGATGGTTGACACTCGCCGCCCGTCTGCTCCTAGTTCACACCATTACAGCAGCGCTCTCAAGAACCTCGTCCATAGCGTGGTCGGCCACTATGTGTCGGTATGGTTCGCCATCCGGCAAAACAGCGGCTGCGACTTAGGCTTCCGCAACTTGTTCCGGAGCATCGCGCTGTTCCGCGACCTGCTACAGCACACATAGACCATGGTGCCAGCCAGTCCTCCGGCGTAACGGGTACTGGGTCCGTCCGGAACAGCTGATGCTGGACATGGTGTGGGTTGAGAACCGCATGGTCCGCGAACAGGCGGTTCCGATCATCGCGCCGCTCGTGAGCAGCAAACCGAGGGTCTTATACAGTCCAGGGTCTTCGCCATCTCAGCGGTAAACTTCGAGGCCGTGAGGTACGCCGAACTGATGCCCTGACACCGACCAGTCACGCAGCCTCCACTGCGATACCTCAGGGACTGCGAGCTGTGAAACAAAGTGCAGGCACCGCTGGCCATCTTGCCCCATCTGGTTTACACTAGGAGTGCGAAGCAGCGCCGCACTGCCGAGGACGTCTGCGGCTGGAGCTGGAGCTTCGGCAATATGTGGAGCCCAGCTGGGAAGGTATTTCTGCTACCGTGCGTTCTCTGCCAACAAGCGTTTGGAGTTTCGATGCACAGACTCGGCAAGGGCAAGATGCGCATGGGGTCACCCTACCGCCACCAGCCCCCACCCCCACCCCCTCTCTACGTCCGTGGTGCAGACTGCAGAACTTGTTGGATGTATTAAGTTGTACACCAGACAATTTATTCTGAGTCATGTGCTATACATAGTTTTGTTTACATCACAAGAGTTGTCTTCGAGAAGTGAAAGTCTAAAGCGATGCTAACCAGCACACTCGTACAACGAGTTCATACTCAACAGCCTATAGAGTTTCCGCCAAATGATAATCAATCGGCCGATGTCTGATCCGCATATGAGACCTTAGATCGGGGCATTCTCGTACGAGGGGTTAAGGAGCGCTCGGTAGCATCGTTTCTATACGCAAAGGTATTTTGTGTCGCTTGCCGCCCACGACTTGGTGTTACCTGCGGTGGCGAGCGCTGCTCAGCATGAAGTGACTGCAGCGCCGGGTGTCGGTTCACGGTGATATTTCGATCGACTCGCGCCTCGCGAATTAAGTTTTTGGGAAGAAATTTTGCTATACCGTGTACTTTTCGACTCCTGCGCCGAAGAATTTCGTTGTCTCACTCGGTTTGGTTACTGATGACACACCCTATTGTACGGTGATCCACTCAGTACACGTTGTATCCGTCCATTTCCAGCGACGAACTAGGACGCTTGTGTTGAGGCATGTCTCACTCAGGGCTAACAAGTCAAACTGGTACAAATCAGATAGATATTGTCGTAGATCAGTTAATTTTGGTTTATTTAACCGTATGTTCAGTCGCACAATCAGTAGATCCTTGAAGTTGACATCACCGTGCCGGCTCCAGCTGACATCGCCACAGCTCACACCTCATTCAGCTGTTCCATCTGGTGTTATATATCTATGGGTGTCATGAAACCTGCCATTTTGCAATGATTCAAAGCAGTTTCATAAGCTCCAAAGTATGGGAAGGTGGACATATAAGATGAAAAAATTGGTTCCGTGCTGAAAGTACTTGAGGCTAACCATACAGATGACAGTGAGTTAGTGCTGATTGTTGCCTTTTATAGTGCGACGAGCTCGACGCTGTGCATTCGATTGATACATTTGCAACTTCATGCGCCGAAAGCAAGAATGGTCGAAAAAACTGAGGTAGGCACGGGCGCGAGCGGATGCGTGTGACGTATATGCTTAAGGCCTAGAATAACCGTGGTATATACCCACAAACATCGGTATAGACGAGGCCTTGCAAGAAACGAGGGATCTGGAGAATACTGTCGTAAAGTGTAAAGATTGTCTGAGGTAAGCATTGCGAACAGCCGTGAGGCTTTCGCCTGCTCGAAAGCTTCCTTGCCAGCGTCAGAAAATCGAGGCATGCAGATGTCCAGATGTCATCGATACCACAAGTATCATATAACTCGTATCAGCTATTGTAGGGGCTGGCTGTCACCACTTATCACTGCAAGGAAGTTCAGGATGTCTGTCTTGTTATCAGGGCACCAACGCCCTGATGGCCCTGATTTGTTAACATGAAATGAATGTGGGAATTGTTTTGTTCAAAATTGTCAAATGGAATGTGGACTTTATGTGATGTTTTATGTTGTGCATGTAACAACATGCTAGGTTTGTGGATCTTACATGCCATGGTTATGTTGACAACTTTGGTTGTATGAAGTATTTGTGCCTAATACTGTGTGGTGTAAAATAGTTTTATGCTTGCTTTTTAATATCTTTGGTTATCTCATTGGTAAGGTTTCCCAAAACAGGTCTCGCTGGTTCTTCGTCAGTTATTTTTCTTCTTAGCAGTTCATGGCTGTGTTTTTTTAGTTACTTCCTACCTGATGATGACAATACCTAGCTGGCATAACAACAAGGTTACCTTGAAAACTGTTAAAGTTTTGTACCATCCCAATTTTTGTATAAAATCAGAATTGTCATGAAATAACAATATGTATTTATATTCCAGGACAGACACAGGAAGGAATAACACCAAGGTGCTCTAGAATAGTCATCATGGCTACAGTTTTATCACAGTATAGTACAACAGGCTTTTGTAAGTATAACTTATAATATCAAGTTATAGTCCATAGGGACTTTTCATATAGTATGATATGAATGGTTAATGGAGAGGCATTGTGGTTGAACATTTCATTTTGATTGGGCATTACGAGACACAAAGGCAAGGGGAGGGAGTTTTGGTGAGCATAGCATTGTGCTCAGGTGTGGTTTCAAATCATTTGTAATGTTTTATATATTTGAAGCTTAACACCATTGACTTTCCTTCATAACTAGTGCCACATGCATTTGGTTTTTAATTTCCAGCTCATTAGGGGTAACATGAACATTACCTTTTTTGGATGCCACTCTAAAAGCAGAGGAGTTTTCATTCCATATACTATGTGCATGGACATAAGGGAAATGGCAAAAGGTGGCACTTATGCATAATACAAGTGGTGAATGTGCATGCATTGCATTGTCTCCATGTAAATTTTGTTGGAAATGCATAGACAGTAGATTTGCATGCAATAATATTTATTTGCCATGTGTGTTATCCTTCCTGTCAAATCAAAAAGAGAATATATTATTTCATAAACTATCACTAGGTTTCTACAACTTATGACAAGTATGGGATTCTTGAGACATTTAGCCATATGCAGGCCTTAGCTTGATGTTATTTTTAAGATTTATTCTTTTTACCGAAAATTCCTGATTCATGGGATTCATTCTTATTCTGACTACTAGCAGCGGAGTGCAGCTTGAAGGCTAAAACCAGCAAGAGCATCTTGAGCTCAGAAAACAGGCCACATTGACTGACTGTTCACCCTGCTACCATCTGCAGACAAGGCACCTGTGAGTAAAGGCCTGATGGGCGGCCTGTTCCTGACATGCACGGCCATAAACGTGCCGCTCCTGGCGCACCTGCGGCACCACCTCGAGTTCCGACTGCCCGACATGCTGACGTCACCGCTCATCTACCGGCTGTTGACCTCGCGGCTTGCGTTCCTCGACACCAAGGACCTGGTCTGCAGTGCGCTGCTGCTCTACTACTTCCGGTGCGTATCCCGCGGGCCGGTGGGCTGGTGCCGACGGCGCGTGCCCGCCGCCGCCCCGACGGCCGATAAGAGCAGGACAGGGCGGGATGGGGTGTGCGGACCGTTTTGTGGAAATGGTGTTTCGTCGTCGCTGTTACGTGATGCACTTGATTCGGATGACAGCGGACGAAATGCATTACTACAGCAAAATATCAGTGTATCATCAGTCACCAATGCATTAACTGCAGTGGTGCTGCTGCGCCGTGTACCACCGGCCGAGTATCCTGTCGTGCGTTGGCACGGGCCTCTGACACAGACTTACGATTGCGGGCGGTCTGCTCCGCCCGGCGACCGACACGTCCTCCCTGCCAGCAGAATATTCGAGCGACGCTACGGGTCGCGCAAGTTCGCCAGCCATCTGTTGGTGACGTGGACGCTCTCGACGCTGCTGGAGGTGGTGTTCGTGCTGGGCTCGCAGCGGCTCGGCCTGGAGCTGCACGCGGGCCGGCTGCTGCCGCCGGGCCCGTGAGTGTTGCGGTCCGGCTGAGGGTCAGCCGTCGGAGGTCCGGGGGAGGGGACCTCGGCTGGACGGGCGTGCGGTGGACGGCAGGCGTCCCGGTACCGTAGCCGGGATGACCAGCCACCTCGGCACACTGCTGTTTTAATGCGATCTGTTATGTTTCTTCGAACCAAGCTTGATGAATTAGTTGTTACTTGTCTGTGCTGGGGCAGAAATCCCAGGGAGCTTGCAGAGGGAACCTCCCTCAGCCTGAATGTACTCATGTAAGAGTTAGCGAATGTGGCTCCAGCCTTCTTTATCTAGGTGCAACTTAAATGCTAAAAACGCTTCCTTTTGTCATTGAGTCATAACATGAAGGATGTGGTTAGTCCATATGATTGCTCCTGGTATGTGCAGCCCTGCTGGGCCGGCGCCGCGCTGCTGTCTGCCGCTACCGACTGGCCGTCTGTCGCAGTGTCTAGGCTGCGCGGTCGAGGCCACCGTGCCAGGCCGCTGCGGCTGTGGCGTGAGCCGACACCGTTTCACGCGCTGCGTGCCCGGCCGCAGGTACGGCCTGGTCTTCCCCCTCTTCGTCAGCTACTTCTTCGACGTGCCGCGCGTGACGACGACCCACATCCTGGGCGCACCCATCACCGGCAAGACACTCACCTACCTGATCGGCCTGCAGATCTGCTCCACGTCGGTGGCGACCGGCGTCAGTGCGCTGTGCGGCGTGGTGAGTGGTCGCTTCCAGCCCGCGGTGGGCATCCGGGCTGGTCCGCACGGATCGGTCGCGGGCTGAAGACACGGCGATGGATGCGGACGTTTGCAATGCAGAAGCACGGCCATGCTCGGTGTTTCGCTACTTCATTTGACGAGCACTTAATGTGACGATCGCTGGCGAGACTGGTTCGTGTCCCGAGGCCATTCTGAGGTCTTGGCAATCTCCCTCTCCATTATGCCGTGTTGGGTGCGGTGCACCTGCCTGTTATGGTGTTCCGAGCTTCTGACTTGGTGAGGTTGGCCCCAGTGGGCGGTCCCCGTCTCTCCTGTTGCTCGCCCTGGCCCGAGTCACCGCACGAACTTCATCTCGAGATAGGGTCCAAACGCGCACTTGTGATAATTTCCTTTGGTTTGAGATTGTAGCGATTTTGGTAGTATCCTGCGTGGAATGAGTTTGACTTTATCCTGTCTGGCCAGTGCCCTACTGTACTGCTACACGTGCTACACGTACTGCAGGTGTTACGTGTGTTATACATGGTCCAGGTGCTACACGTGCTATGCGTGCCACACGTGCTATGCGTGTTGCACGTGCTGTACGTGCAACACGTGTTATACGTGTTATACGTGCTACACGTGCTATACGTGCTACACATGCTACACATGCCACACATGCTACACGTGCTATACATACTACACGTGCTATGCGTGCTACACGTGCTGTACGTGCTACACGTATTACACGTGCTATACGTGGTACAGATGCTACACGTGCCGCACGTGCCACAGGCGCACCGACAGTTGACTGCTGCTGGTCTGACCGTCGTCCCGTGCCAGGTGTCGGGCCTGCTGTACCGCTACAACGTGCTGCACGTGCGTCGGCTGCGCGTGCCGTCGGGCCTGTGCTGGCTGGCGGACCGGACGCTGGGCCGCCTGCTGTCGTCGTCGCCGCCCACCGACGGCCCGATGGGCGCCACGCTCGAGGTGCAGCGCCAGCAGCAGATCGAGATGCTCGAGCAGCAGATGCTGCTGGACCGCTACCGCGAGATGCGGCAGCGGCAGCCGGTGAGTGAGACCGGCCGGCTGCCGGGCGGGTGCTGCGGCTCGTGCGGGCCCGGGCCCGGGCTGTGGTCGCTACGGATGCGGTCCGGTGTGTGGCCGGATGGGAGACGGTGTGCAGATATTTGTGGGGTCGAGTCTGGTGGCGAGTCGAGGGCTGCGTCCTACTACAGTTGATTTGATCAATTGTAACACCAATGGATGGAAGGCATTCATTGCGTCGTTGAACCCTCAAAAGCATTAATAACCCACGTCTCCTGCTGTGCACTTGCAACATAATGACGGTTATATTAGCTCGTCTTGGTAATTTTTCACGTCATGATTGGCAGCTTATGTCTCATTTTTAGTTACGCTGTCCCGGGGGTATTAGGTGAGAAGGGAAACGCTCCGAAGGCAGAAATATCAATGCACAGCCAAGTGTCAGCTGTAGCCAATACGATCACGCTCAGAGTGTGGGCCGCCGCCCCTGACCGTGTGTGGTGTTCTGCGGTCGGGCCGTGCTGGTGACCATCCCGCGCGGTCGGGTCGGACTGGTGACCGTCCCCTGCGGTCAGGTCGGGCTGGTGACGGTCCCCTGCGGTCGGGTCGGACTGGTGACCGTCCCCTGCGGTCGGGTCGGACTGGTGACCGTCCCCTGCGGTCGGACCGGGTTGGTGACCGTGCCCCTGTGCCGCAGCCGGGCCGGGCGCCGGCGCCGCGCCACCAGGAAGGCCAGGGCTACGCGGAGCGGCTGGTGGAGCACGGCGACCACCCGCTCAACGGCCTGTACCGGCCGGCCGCGCCGCAACCGCTCATCCACGAGCCCGAGCAGGGTACGTCGGCCGCTGTCGACGGCCCGGGCGGGCTGGGACACCAGGGGCGGCGAGTACCTCGCTGCCCACGCGCCGGGGGCAAGTCGGCCTGTGGGGTGACGCAGGACAGGTGGTCGAGCCGGTGATATGGCGTCAGGGGTGGCGACGTGGTCGGTGCTCTTCACTGTGCGTTGTCTCAAAGGGTGACGGAGTACGTCAGAGACGCTGGCCGAGCTATACGTGCGGTGTGAATTCTGGAGGGATCTCCCCATACTCGTTCTGTACGCTGCTGGCTGATGTCACCTGGTAACGTTGTGAGACCGTCTCCCTGAATGTTGACTGTGGGCTGCGTGGCGTACGTCCATGCTTCACTTCGGAGACGTTGCCCTGTCATGTGTTCGTGACGTCGTACCCAAGATGCTCAGCCCGGTCTGACACGGTCCCTGTACCCCCGGCAGCGGCGGAGCCGGCGCCGCCGTCCGAGGAGTGCGTACGTCACCTGCTGGAGATGGGCTTCCAGCGGGCCGAGGTGGAGACCGCGCTGCGCTCCTCCAACAACGACATGAACCTGGCCACCACCCTGCTGCTGCAGCAGAGCTAACGCTGGCCCCGGCTCAGGTATCAGGGGCCGCGCGGGGCGCCGCCGCCGAGCCGTGGCGCGCGGCGCCGTCCGCTGCCCGCCGCCGGACACGGCGACGGAGCTGCGACGCCCGGCGCCGGCCGGCTCCGGACACGAGTGCGGAGTTAGGACTGGTTTGGCAGTGGCGGCGGCCGGCCGTGGCCCAGCTGGCCGCCGTCGGACGGCTCGACCGGGTGACGCCGGAGCGCGCCCGCGCGGGCCGCGGGCGCCGGCGCCGGCGCGGAGCTCCCGACGCGTCAGGTCCTGATGCGGGGTCGCGGGGCCGACGTGCACGGGCTGTCCGGTGCGCGCGCCAGGGGAATGAATGGATTCGGCCCTGGCGACCGCTTAAGCCGGCGGGCCGACAGACGAACCTGTGACGGTCGGCGGGGGCGCGTGGCGCGGTGCCGGCCCGCGGTGCGGGCGGCGCGGCGGCCGTGGCGTCCGCCAGATGGCGGGTTTGTCTCAAGGAGGCCTGCAGAGCCGGGCGGCAGGGACTCGTCGCGTGGTGTGTGTGGCGGGCGTGCTGCCTGCCCGCCGTCGACTTGTGAGCTTCAGTCAATGTACGCGCGCTGTACATTCCCCCGGGATCAGAGGTCCGGCCGGCGCTGCCCAGTCTGGTTTTAAAATCTGTCTGTTGGTGTGCCGGCGGCGTGTCTGGCGTGGCAGCTGTAGCCAACTGGATTAGATGGGCAGGTTGTTATCTAATCCGTGTTCGCGGGCGACGTGCGGGGCGGTTTGAGTGCCCAGCTCGCACACTGTTCGGCCCGCAGTGGTAGGAACCGCGACCGTTTGCTGCAATAAACCATAAACACCCGATAAGTGGCGCCATCTCGCAACCACTTCTCCTCTTAAGGAAGGATCGCTCATGCAATCGTCAGTTGATTGTGAGCAGGAAAGGAATTATAGGTTGTTTGGATGCTGCCAGGGTGCTCTTTGTTGGCCTGTGACAGACGATACATGGAGAAGGCTGACCGGGCGGTGCGCTGTGACGTATGATGTGATATAGATCAGCAAGAGCCCAGCCGACGGGCGCCTCTTGCCCGAGGCGTTCAAAGACATCACCTTTTTAGCCAAGCGCTAGCAGTAAGATACACTCTTCACTCAGTTTGTGCGCAAGTTTGGGACCGAAGACGTGTCTCTTGGGCGGCCGAGCTGTGTGCCGTAGTCGCATCTACCGGCGTTCGGCCCTTGTAGCGGCGACACAGTGACCGCGGCGCTGGATAGGACCAGCTCGTTTTCCTTAGGGCGCCGTTTCACGCATTAGTGCGTCGCTAGCAGCTGCCATCTGACGTTCCTAGGCTTCAATATCCAAACAGCTTGCGAATGCAAATATTTTTCCTTCGCAAGCGTGAAAGTTCAGAGCGGTGTCTTTCTTTTCTCTGGTCATGTTTTGTGGCTTTCTCATCGTGAAATGATGTGTTACAAAAAGTTGTAAATAACACTTTGACTGCAAGGAGTTATGTCATTTTATGTCGATGCGCAATCGATGAGTGAAAAGCAGTCTGGTTTCCTTCATTTTAAAAGCGGGAAGAACTTACTATGGATTACTGTGGTTAATATCGACGCATGAAAATGTCTCGACCTGCACTGGAATCCTCCGTCAAACAACTACGAGCGCTTAACGCAAACCGAAACTCTATCGAACTTTTTCCAGTTATACGACGACCGACACGAATCCAACGAACAATGACCGAACCTTAAAATACGCCGGATCCAGCAGCCAACCGAGCCCATGACGGTGGGTGTAATACATTCAGCATGAGCACGTCACGTACCACGCTGCCCTGCACGGCCCGCTCGGCTGGCCCTGCATCAGACACGTCGCCTGATCAACAGTCGGACCACATCAATTGACCAGTCCCAACTACAGCTGAAGATTGGTGATATCAACGTACGCTCGCTGAAAAGGAAGTTGGATGAGATTAACTTGGTGCTGAGCGAACCATTGGACATCTTGTACGTATCGTAGACTTGGCTTATGCCAAGCATTCCCAAAAGCTGCTTGTCCTCTCCCGGATACTGCGTAGTGAGAAATGACTACACTGCACGCCGCGGTGGCGGAGTTGCCATCTTACATCGGGTGAAAATACGAAGCGGACTGATAAATCTGCAGGGAAAGGGACCGCTGGAGATGCTATGGTTGGCGGTAACGTGGTGTGGTGCATCACCGGCGACTGTCGGCGTGGTGTATCGCCCACCAGACAGCCCGATAGCTACGTGTCTGGATCAATTACAGGACCAACTTCGTGATGCTCTCTGCTCCTCTCAAATCGACGTTTCTCCTGGGTGATATGAATGTTGAAGTCTTGGCACCGAACATCCCAGGCGTCCAGCACTACCTCATCTTGATCATCGACCTGAACATGACGCAGTTGGTTGCTGAGCCCATTCATGTTGTACCTACGCCACGGTACTTGACCATGTGATAAATGATGGACTCGACCCACCACCAACGATCGCTGTCCTACCTGATACCATCAGTGATCATCAGCTCATCGCCATCACTGCGGGGTTGGGCAGGATGAGACAACCAGGCCAGAAACTCACTACTCGGGGCTGGCACCGGGCCGACTGGGACGCCATCTGCCTGAACTTGCTCGCAACTGATTGGGCAGAACTTCATGACACTAATGATGTGAACGTGATGGTGAAAACGTTTATGAAAACATGGAAATACGTCATGGGCTGTGATTGCCTGGCAAAAGCTGTTCGCGTGGAGCGCCCAAGTTGCCCCTGGAGGTACCATAACCCGCGCCTTCGGGCACTAATGGCCGAGTAGGACACAGCAACGGACAGTCCATGGCTGGAACTGTGATAATCTCATATGGTGGTGATCGTATGATTCCAGAGGCTCATAAGGGCTTCACACGGCCTCGAAACAGCGCAAACCCGCGCTCGGATGGTGACGGGGGCAATTTGACCGCTATCCACCCATCCCCGAGGGTTTTTCCAGAATGATTTCCGACCGACGCGACGTAGCTTGGCCAAACTTCGTACCTAAAAACTGGATGTGTTTTTTAAGGTAGATGAGCTATAGCACTTCAAAGTCAGAACGTGGCTCTCAGCGAAGACCATTTCTAGGGAATCGATCGATCTGATGCGACAGCGGAGTGTTAGATGAGGCCATCTATCTCTGAGATAGTTTCTTAGGTAATACAACTGATTTAGAATAACAACAAATTCAGTCAACCTAGTGTCAGGTATGAATGTCGGACCGAAGTCACCACTAACTGCTGTTTTACTCGAGAGCTTGCCATATGGGGTAGCTGTGGGAGCTCATTTCAAATTTGTGAATTATAGGGGCGCAACAAACTTAGTTCATGGACTTCTTAAAAGGTCGGATTAGGTCGCGGACTTAAAGTTATCCAGACCAATATTTTGTTTAAGGAACAAACCGTTTCGCGTAGTCCCTGACGCTTGTTTGAAAGGAAAAATAACAGCAATTTCCTAGTTTTTTGTCACCTTGACCTGTTAAAGGTCAAACAAGGTTATTGACCTTGAATAAACACATTTGAACTTTTGCTTAGAACAGGTCTATAGGTTTACGGCTCCGACATGAATTCGCTTCTGCTATTGTTTTGATAAAGGCATGTTGCCGAAATATCAATCCAACTATATCTCCATTCCCCTGTTTTTTCCCAGGAATAAGGCTAATACTACTGTCTATGGCTAATACACCGGCATGTCTGCCACCTGTGCACCTGCATATTTGCCACCTGTGCTCTCACGTGTCTCACGAACAAAAACGCTTCTATGAAATATGAGTAAAACCCCCTTTGAGGTCACAAATGCACGATATCGTGCTTAATTTGCACACAAAAAATTATCAGTAATCATTCCTCTTTGGTGTCATGGGCCATCTCATTGTCAATTTGCCACTATTCGGGGCATTTTTCACAGACGCATAACATGACTCATACCCAGTAAACGATAAAACTTGGCCTACCGAGATAGTTGCTGACCGTACCCATCCTCTGTGATCCCGTGTGTGCTACCAATCAGACGGCTGATACACCTTGTCCTGAATAACAAGCCTCCGCGTTCTCCTGAGTTCAACGCTTCGGTGAAATCCGTCATCGAACATCTGCTGCCGCCCTCGCTCGCCTGGGCTAGACTCACCTGGTGGGCGCATTCCGATGCTGTTCAGGCGGGAGCCCACATTCAGTTGGATCATTGTCCGGATGGAGGTCACTTAAAACCACGTCGGTGATCGCCGAAGATCTGCTTCGCCTGTGAAGTGGATCCGCTTCTGCCTCGGAAGATCTGCTTTGCCTTCGCCGCCGCTCCGTTGTTCTGCCTCTGAGAGAGGTGTTCTCCTCTCGTTGTTCTCCCTTCATTCCTCGGGGCTCCAGTACAGCATTTATCGGGGCCTGTGCAGGCAGGGCTGGATATAGAGGGAAGGGTTGAAACTGCATGGATTGAAAGGTGCATCAGGTGTATGATATATGCCACAAATATTCCGGATTCCGTAAAACGTTCGGATTCTACTATGTACATAAAAGATGTTGAACCCTGCGTAGGTCTAGAAGAGGTCGGTTTCATTTATAATGTACGGCTGACGCCGTTTATGTGAAGTGAAGTTATTTTCGTTTCCAGATCTATGGAGTTGCTTAAACGTTTGCAGAGAGGGTACTAAGGCTGGCTGCAGCAAGCACAACGCAAAGATTTTTTCCATAGTATATCTTGGAATGTTCTTACGTCACACTGACACCGAATAGCGTTGTACCCATATTCCATAGAAGCGTTTTTGTTCGTTAGACACGGGAGAGCAGAGGTGGCAGGTATGCGGGTGTAGTACATTCCTGCCCCGCTGTGGAGGAGATGGCTGGCCACCTCAGGAAGGACGCAGCTGACTCGCTGAGGGAGCCCAATGCTGTTCTGCTGATGGGGACAATGGTAACGCGCAGAGGGTGTCACGGCGCATCTGGGCGGGGATACCCTCTGACGTGCTGACCTGATGATCCTCTGGCGACCCTCTGCTGACCCTCTGAGCGGTAGCGCACGCGCGGGTGCCGCCTGTCGCACCGCCATATGGCACCATCGACCTCCCACCGAGCGCTGGAATAGCGCGCCGCCGGCACACAACCGCCCACACGCGCCGGTCCGGCTGAGGGGGGGGGAGGGGGGAGGGCTGCTG